TCTGAGGCATATTATTCCCCATATCTTAATATCTTCTCAGTTTAAAATTTAGGAGAGGAAGATAGCAGTAAATGATATAAATTCCCTTCCAAATAGCTAAGACATAGACTACCAATCCTGTTTTCTCCCTTTTAACTTATAATTCAAATGTTAGCTAGGCATTTTGTAATAAATTTTTAGAAAGAAAGGAAAATTAGAATTTAATTATTGTGCCACAGCTTGTTTATTAGCAAATTTTTTTATCTACTGGCCTTCTAAAAGGACTGTACAGATAGTAACTTAACCAGAACTACACTTAGTGGAATCATTGGTTTTAACATGTTGCATGTAAGTTTTTAAATCTATGAAATGCTATAAGGTAGTAAAACCTATTTTAAAAAAAAAACAACTTCAGAGCAAATTACTGGTAGCTGGATATTGTATTATACCCATACTAAGGTGATCTTACACATGTTTAAATTAGAAAAATACATATAATATAATGAAATTTTTTGCAAATAAATGAAAAATTTGAGGGATGTGAATATATTAACTTCTAAAATTTGTATCTTAGATGGACCAGTCTTATAAACCAGATGAAGATGAAGTTCGAACACTCTTTGGTCTCCGTTTAAGCCAGAAGAATTCTGCGAATTTTTTTATGCTGTTGTCTGTTTTGAGGATAGCATCTTGCTGTGTTACCCAGGCTGGACTTGAACTCATGGACTCACATGATCCTCTACTGCCTCAGCCTCCTGAGTAGCTAAGGTTACAGGCGAGCACCACTGCAACCACTAGGCATTACAAAATTTCTAAAATCGATATGCTAGCCTATTAACTGATGTCAAACGAAACTTGTTTTATGCTAGGTAGAGGAATAAGTTGTTTCATGGTTGTAATTATGTATACAATGTACAAACTAACCCAAATTTTGAAATAAAAATACTAATGAAGCCCTGGTATTCCTTTGACACCTTTCAACACGGTATTGTCAGGTGTTGAAGAGGTCATGACAACATGCTCAGGTTTTGGAAAATGTTTTCCATAATGCTATTAATATATAAAATTGATAATGGTCATTTCATTATGGTTTTAAGAGTACATAACAACTGGTTGGGCTCATGCCAGTAATCCCAGCACTTTGGGAGGCTAAAGCAGGACTGCTTGAAGCCAGAAGTTTGAGACTGGCCTGGGAAACATGGAGAAGATCCCATCTTTACAAAAAATTTTAAAAAGGACAACTAAAAACACAAGAAACTGAAGAATGTAGTAGCAGCTGTAACTATATAGTTCAACTTGCTGTCAAATGCTTTTTAAAAAAGAAAGTATGTACATTTAATGTGGGATTTTCTTCTTTCCTTGAAAGGCTGACATGGAATCCATGGTGAACTATAGATTACTGGTATCTTACAATCAAGGAAATTCACTTAACTTCCATTATATGTAGTTGAATTTTAAAGTTTCTGACATCAATACCTCATGAAAAACAGCATTATGAACTTTTACTTTAAATTTAAATAACTCTTTGTTTAACAATGCATAATCTTAGACTATGGCTAACTTATTTAATATAGAAGAGCTCATAAAAGATAAGAAAAATCTCAACAACCTAGTAGAAAATCAAAGAATATGGACAGTTCATAAAATGGAATAAAAATACCCTTAAATGTAAAAAGATGTTCACCTCACACTAATGAAATAGATGAAAAATGTAAGAAGACAATGCTGGCATAGTGTTGGAAACAGGCACCTCTATACATTCCCATTAGGACATTAAATCTGTCCTAGGACCTGAGAGGGGCAGTATCCACCAAGATTATTCTGATACACACAGCCTGTGATCCAGGCTAACTCCATTCCTAGGACTTTTCTAGGTTATTCACTCAGGGCTGCGTGAAGGCTATAGCCTGGTGATTGGCTACGTAATCTAAGATACACGATAAGGAACAAACTTCCAAGATGGTGAAGCAGGGACACATTTTGTAGAGAAATAGAAACAGAAATCCAAATGCAAATTTATTTGATGAGTATAAACTTAAAGAGAACACTTCAGGAAAGCAAGAAATGTAAAATGTTAGTTATTTCTAAGAAAGGTAGCAGTGGCCAAAGGAAATGACAGGGGAACAGTACATTAAAACATTTAATAGTTTTTGAATAGGTAACTATGTAAGTATATTATTTTTTTAAAAATTACAAAAATTAAAATAAAAATAAGGAAGCTATTCTCATCTTAAAACAAAATTAAAAGTATTTTTATGGGAGGCTGAGCAGGCTGATTGCTCAAGGTCAGGAGTTTAAAACCAGCCTGAGCAAGAGCGAACCCCTCTCTACTAAAAATAGAAAGAATAATGGCCAACTTAATAGATATAAAAATTAGCTGGGCATGGTGGCATGCCTGTAGTCCCAGCTACTTGGGAGGCTGAGGCAGGAGGATTGCTTGAGCCCAGAAGTTTGAGGTTGCTGTGAGCCTAGGCTGATACCACGGCACTCACTCCAGCCTGGCAACAAAGAGAGACTCTGTCTCAAAAAAAGAAAGTATTTATAAAAATGCAAGATTAAGGATAAAGAAACTGCAGTAAGGAGGGATAAATTAGAAATGTGTCAACATATAGGAAACATTAAATGTGGGGGAAAAGACACCAAATAAGAGATCAAATTACTTTTAATCATTAATACACTAACCTGAAGAACACAGTAGTTCCCATTTTTCTTTTTAGAAAGTATTTTCAAGCTTCTTCTTCATATCCTGGGGCAATAATACCATCAGATACCTGTAAATACATTAAACGTTAATTTCTATTTTAAAAAATCAGAGACCACCTATGGAAAAATCTAATAGGACTATCTGCCTTAAATAATGTAGCAGCATGTGTCTGGTTTCTATCTCCAACAGATAATGTTTTTACTATACTTATAAAAGACAATTCTATGTTGGAATACAGCTTTCTAAAGCTGAATACCTATCTCACTCGCTGTCCTTTCAAACTTTCACTTCTGCCTTTCAAACTTTTGTCAGTTTTAACTAAGAATATATGCATGATCATGCTGTAAAATACGCACACTCAGGAAGAAATATTACTTGTACATATCTCTTCAGGATATGGTGTTTTACACTAGAAAGAGCATATTCAGTTCTAGCTCTGCCAGTACATGGTTAAATGTCCTTTAGCAAGGCACATTCCTCAACAGCCAAGACAGACTGGAGTAATCAAAGATTTTAACACAACTAAAGATACAATGTCATACATAGTCTTGCTATAACCTATAACATAAGGACGGTAGTGTCATGGAAATAATCCCTAAGGTAACTAAATATTGTCAAGCCATGTGGCCCCTCATCTCTACTTTTCTTTGCCCTTAAGCACTTTTTTTTTTCTTTCTGTATTCCCACTTCCAATAATACCTCTACCTTTCTGGAATGCTTACTTTGTTTTACAATGTTATTATATTTTCCCATTATATGGTCTCTTTTCATTACAGACCTACAAAGGGTTTATAGTAAGATTCTATTCCTATCACCATCCAAGATGGCAACCTCTTTGTTTGCGGAAAGACAACATTGGCATTAATTTAACTACTAGAGAATTTAAAAGAATTAATTATACAATAAAAACTTTGTTAAAACAGCCAACTATCCACTTGAAATCCCATCACTCAATAAATCCCAAAATTAGTTCAATGATCCATGCTCTACATAAAACATAAACATTAGATGATAAACTTAACTAATTTACAGGTATTGCAAATATAAATATTATAGGTTATGGTTTCAAAGAACATCATGAACAATTAAAGTTTTACTCAGTTACACATGGATCAAGATACATGAATGTCCACTAACTTCTGCTGGATATGATTTTTGCAGTTGGTACAGTCAAAACATCAGATTAATGCAACAAAATCACCAAATGAAGACATCCTATCAGCCCCTGTGAACAAAAATTAAAATGAGGTATTTATCACAAAGTATTCTTTGTATAGAAAAAGACTGTCTTAAAATTCCCATGAGATAATATAAAATCCATTTCTCTTAAAGCTAACCTTTACTGTTTATATAAGATTTAAATAACAGATCAGTAAGTCATTGAACTGAAATAACAGTAAGAAGGTATTCTTTAATTTTACCTCTAAGAGTTTAGCAACTTTTCTATGAAGGGCCACAGAGCAATATTTTTAAAGCTTTGTTTGTTACCACATGCGTCTTTACTATAACTACTCAATGCTGCAGAGGTGCAGTTCAAAAATCAGCATGACAATGTAGACACTGTAGTTTTCAAAAATAGGCAGGTTGGATTCAGCCCAAGGCGCCCCTGGTTTGCTC